AAACCAAAGCATTTGCATCTGAAAATAGACGGGTTTTGTCTTGTACTCTGCCTTGCTTTGTCTAGAAAATAGGTCTGTAGAGTATGACATAACAGTGTACCACAGAAAGCCTCCTGGTGTAGATGGCTGCAGAGGGGAAGGGGGGAGCAAGAAAAAAGAGGGAAGTGTTATGTACAGTAAGGACACAGCATTTGCCTTTTCTCTCCACAAGCTGTATGTGCCTGCACACACAATGTGTCTTCACAAATAGTGAAGCCTTTTATTCCTGACAGGCTCTGACGCGTTAAGTCCCATGGTCCTGTTCTCGTTACAGTGTAAATAAAGTACCACGTCTTAGGGAACCAAATCCAATATGTCAGTGGACACCAGGGTACAATGAGGAGCAGACATTGCCCTGCTACAGACTGAGCTTCCCCCAAGCTTCCCCAGTCTAATAACAACACAACAAGAGTCCTGTGACTTGCAGCACCCTTCCCCCACCCATACATATTACCATTGCTTCTCAGCACTGTCTAGAAAGGTCATGTGACCCTCATCGGCTTCCCGGGTTGGGGGATGGGAGGCAGATTGAACCTGTTCTTTGTTAGGAGGTCAGCCCCAGCTCTATGGCAGGAAGCGCTCCTACCAAACACTTTGTAGTAGATGTGCAGAATGGGCCGCAAGGCATCTGTACAGGGACTTGAGGCGAGTTTTTGAGCATGCATGCAAACCACAGTCAGAGAAGGCTTGCTTGACAAATGCAGCTCCAGTGGTTTTAAAAGAGGCTGATGTAACAGAAAGAAAAACATGAGAACTGCTTTTGGACACAGTCTATGTTTTTATTAGTCCTAGTTCAAATATCTCAATACAGTTAATACAAGCATAATATTAGTACTGCTGTGTGTGGGGGGAGTTGCAGCTCCAACTCACCGCAGGACAGGGGCAAAAATTCAATGTTCATAATATTAAATAAATTACAATATAAATATGGAGATGCAGTATCACACCAAGAGTACCAGCTATAAAGCTGTACAGCAATTCTGCACAATTTCACTGCCTCTTTATTATTTGCAGATGTTGTTGTCCTTCTGGCTTCATTAGGCTGTGACCTCAGGCATTTTGCAGCAGAGTGTGGCAGAGCAGAGATGAGGATAAGCACTTCAAAAAACCCAAGGGATGGCTGTTTTCTAAAAAATGCAAGGAGGTGAGGGGGAACAGAAACATTCAGTAAAAGAATTCCTGGTTATCTTATTCATGAGTGCTGGTAAATTCAGGTAGCAGGATCAGCTGTATATTGTATTTGTAAAGGTAAAAATAAGATATTAAATAAAGATCTCATTTTATGGTTTAATCTTCAGTTACAAGCTTTGACTACTGAGACCCTGAGAAAATGAAGTATTTTACCAGTCTGGAAGGCTTTTTGTGTACATACACACATACCTAAACAATGCTTTCATTTCTAATCAAAGTGTAATTATACAACAAATCCTACTTTCAGAGAACAAATAAATGAAAAGAAACACCATGGTATTAAATAGTTTTCCTGAAGTAAATGTTGTTTTAGGAAATGTTCTTTATTTTTCTTCTTTTGTCATTGTTGAAACTGTCTTAGGTGATTCGGTCTGATGGTCACTTTGTCGTCTGTAGTTTGTACTGCTGTTAAGCAAATATTTGTTGTGTTTTTTTTTGGTGTTGTTCAGGGTGTAATTACTGATCTGTTTTACTAGTACAGTTCCTCCATGTTTGACAGACAGTAACTAACACTTGCACAGTGGTAATTCTCAGACATCCTTGGTAGCAGACACATTTACCTTAGGTATTCAGTTGTCAAACTTTTATTAAAGGTGCTTCAACATAACTTTACTTACATAATATTACTGTTGAAACATGCTGCCTACTGAAAGGGCATCAAGTAAAACCCTTTTCTGATTTCTGAAGGAAAATACTGTTGACTTTCCAGCACTGAAAAGTATTCTTGTCCCGTAACACGACAACCTGCCTTGGCCTTATTGGCTGGTCACAGCCAGGCATGGCAGACCTTGATTGTTTAGAGTGATGTGCATTGATTTGACTGGCAGAGGAGAGGAGGGGTACAAAGTCAAACAAGAGAACCGATCAAAAGTAACATTCAAAATTTAATGTACACTGCCAAAATGAATGGAGCCTATCTAGATACAGAGACAGCTCCTTGTAAGCCATTCTACCCTTGTTATTTGATGGTGGGTGGTGTTTTAACATCCAGATGAGTAATATTTAACTATAGGGCCAGGATGTGTGAATAGAGGAAGTTTTTAATATGTCATTTTCTGGAAATGAAATGCTGTACTTCCTAATTGAAACAATATGTAACAATTTACTGTCAAGAAGAGGATCTGAGATTGTCATTTCTCAGAACTGAGAACTGAGCTAATATATACATTTTTCTGCTTTTATCAAATAAGGATTGCTATAAAAGTGGCTATGCAGGACTTTCCCTGTGGCGTATAGAAATCGACTGAACTTTTATTTTCAGTCTTTTATTCGTAATGCTACAACTCGAATAACATTCCTAAACGTGCTAAGGTGATTATGTTCTGATTTGTAGTTTTTATCTTTGAATCAGTCCCACGTGCATCATATTGCCATAAATACTCACTAGAGCACCAAATGTGTATTAATGTATGGCTGAAAAGGTCCCAAATAAATTCATTATATATGGTGTGAGAAATATTTGCTGAAACTGCAATATCCAACTGTTTTACAAAATGACTTACCCGTTACAAAACATTATTGTTTTACATTAAAGATTTAGATTTTGAGTTTGTGCTTGTTGATAAGGACCACTCATAGTAGCAATTAGCAATTAATAATAGCAATTAGTGTGGGACACATATACCTCCTCAGTGAGCACCTACAACAGTGTAGGGTCTGGCCATGATTACAATCATAGCTGATGTTATATTTTCTTGTTTTAGCTACTTTTCCCACTACATAATCTTACTGACATGTAACCTGGAACTTCCCATGCCCTGAACCTTTTTTTTTTATTCTGCTATGTGTTATTTTACAAGGAGGACGGGGTATGCTAGGATGCCATTTATAAGGTTCATCCAAAGGATGTCACAGCTAAGTTATTTAAAACGTATCTGTGTGACAGATTTAATTATTTAGGCATTTTGTGATCTGAAATCTTCATCATAAATACATGTAAAAGAAGTAACAGGTTACTTTAGGTTGCTTTAATGCATTTTTGTGCTTACTTTTGCTCCAAAAATAATTGTTGTTAGAAAAATGAATATTTTCTTTTACATTACAAGCAATAAAACAAAAATAAACAAATCGACCACTCCAAAGAACTCCACAGGTTTCCATCCTGAATAACCATTGATGACATACTGTATCTCTTTGATCAACAACACCCTCTCTACCCACAAGTAGCCAGAACTTGATTTAGTACTACCTCCTTAGGGGTGCAGAATTTTAGCTCCTAGTGGCATTTTGAATGTGGCCATAAAACAAGTGATCCTAAGTGCTCTTCAGTGTGTTGACTCCTAGATAGTGAGGTAGTAAATGTGACGACTAACTGGCAGACATAATGGACAACACATCTCCCCAAATACACAATAAGCCTACACAGATTGATCTGACAATTCAGTCTCACCACAGTGTACAAAGGGGTACCACTGTAATTCTACTGTATCTTAAAATAAACCAGTACCACATACAGTACTTAGGTCACCTATGATTTATATACATATATAAGTAATAATAAAAATTAAAACCAAATCAGCACACACAAGCACAAAATTAGTAATTCAGCCAGACACAGTCAGGTAAAGTTTGGCTAGTCATAAGCCTGATAAAACAGAAATGTTTTCATTTTTAATTTAAATGTGGACAGCAGAAGTGAAGTAGAGAGTAAAACCAAATGAAAAAAGAAGTAAAGGGACCTAAACATACTGGAATCAGCCATTTAAATAACACCACATGTATATTTTTAACTCAAGAATATTAACTCCTTCCTTGGTTCATAAAACCCATAACATGATTTTAGTTTTCATAATGATAATTTTGCTACTGCAGGTGAATTTTCACCAAACTCTGTTTTTATTTAGTTTTCATTATGATGCACTATTATATGCTTATATTTACATACACACATATGTATGCATACATACAACACATTGCCATCGAAGCTGGGGCTCTTATCATGGAATACGTCCATGCGCATATATTGCAGCATGTACGGTAACCAATGGAATGTGTCACACCAGTGTAGAGCCGTAATGATGTCAGCTTGTTATTTACTTTCCAAATCTGAATGACTGAGCAAGGCGAAAGGAGAATTAATCAACCGCTGTTTGACTGGGCAGGCGAAAAATAGTGGAGTGTGGGGGTGGGGTAGCGGCTCAGAGGCCAAATACGCAACTTGCTAGACTGTAGCTTGTGAGACTTAGATCCCTGCCTACACTAAATCTAAATATCAAAGGAATAATACTCTTTGGGGCAGTTTTTATAGCTTGTGGTATTTTTGCGGTATAAGTTGTGCGGATATTTTGTCTTTTGGGTCAGATGTGAGCTACACTCAGCTCAGTTTTCGGTGTGTTTTTAAGCTATATTAAACATCTAGGAAGGTATATCTTTATGAAAAATATAAAGATAGTTGGTAAGGATACATGTTCACTATAAAACTCGACATTCTAGCCATTCAGGATAGTGAGATGTAAAAGATATTACACAGTTAGTTAATCAATTAGTCATTTAATACACTGTCGTGTTGTCATGTTTTCAATATTCAGGTTTAAGGTCAGCTAGCCTTCACCCCCACCGCCTCCCTTCTCTCTCTCTCACTCTCTCTCTCCTGTTCGTTGTGTATGTCTCTCCCCCGCTGTCGATCAGCGCCTGCTGTCTCTTTACGTTCCTGTTCTCAGTGAACGGTGAAACTCCATAGAGTAGCCTGTAGCCTCACAGCCACAGATACTCTGGTTTATTCCAACTTTACCGCCACTTGTGAGTGTGTCTGGGCGAATACGCTTTGTTAGCACGGCGAATTGGCCGACAGTGAGTCATACACCAGTGGTCGGAACTTGAAATATGACGATAAGCAAAATGGGAGGAAAGTCGTTGCTAGCTTACTGAAGTTGGGGGGTTCTCCTTGTGGAAGAGGTAGAGGTGGCGGCGCATACCACGAGTTCACTCTCATAATCAAAGGTAAGCCAGGAAAAGTCATTTGGCATCGTTTAGGCTGCACTGTATTCAGGCTGCTTCTTTGACTGCCTGTCTGTGTGGGTTTTATGCGTAGAGGATAATGACTTTCAGAAACTGGTGATTATGGCGTTGATTAGGAGGTTGCCGGCTTAGCTTAGTTACCCATTGACTCCACACGTGTGTTGAAAGTCCAGCTTGTCTTTTAATTTTAAGTTATTCAGACAATCTACTTTTCTGACACCATGTTTTTTTCCCACGCACATTAAACCTTGGTAGATGAGTTGTGGACTATTTCACAAATGTATTAAGTTTTAGAGATTGAAGGCTGTTTTCATTTTGGTCAGTAATTAGGAAGGGCACAGTACTTGGTCCTTAAATAGCACAATAGAAAACCTCAACCATATTAAGTTGCACCGGTGCAGTTTCAGTCTTTTTGTTCACACTGGCATATGAATGATACATATTTATATTGCCATGCAGATTTAGGAAGCGCATGAGTGGGGGATGGGAAAGACATTCAACTGTACCAGACATTGCCACCAGTTTTCAAGGGACAGTTCGTGTTACTGTATAACTACAGTGTTAAGCTCTTTCCTGACTGTCAGCTGGCTCCTATTATAGCACAACAGAAGCTCAAATACAGCCAAAGAAACCCTGTTAAATATGAGGACATTTAAATCACATATGTCCACAGAGCTCTTGATACAAGTGTTTCCTTAGTATGACCCATAAATTCGTCTTATCTGCCATTTAGTAGCCCTGGGTATTTTCTCTAGTACATGGGATAATGGTGAAGTACAGACACAGTTAAGATATATTGCATGGTCTCTTGAGCATCAAAGTGCTCATTATCTCTGGTAAAGCAAGACATGATTGAGATAAAAATAGCAGCTAAAACAAGCTGCTGTTTGAATTCAGATACTGGCCCAAATAATTAAGGCCAAAGTCATGCTGCTGCCCCTGTTGTATGTTGTTTGGTCACAGTACAAGTCGCTGTTGTTTAGTTATTGAAATGAGATGGAGGCATTTTAATAAATAAGTTTGCACTGGAGAGAAGCTTTGGTGAAAATATAGGTTACTGGTTGGTAATGATTTCATATTTTGACTGCTATTGGGACTTCAGTATTTTGGTTTTAATGGTAAGCTATTGTTCATCAGCCGGATAACACCTGCTACTCTTTACTAATGCAATCACCACAGAGGTATCACAACTGTTGTGTTCACTGGATTTATAACAAAAGAAACCAGTGTGTATGGGCGTATTTCATTAAACACATTTTGCGCAGTTTTAACTTTTTCTAAAGAGAGAAAGAGAATCAAGGTTGAACAAATAATAAGCATGCAACTAGCTCAAATAAATTTGATGGCAACATATGTAGCAATTATGGTGTCAAACTGACATTGCTCTGTTTTATTTTGTCTGTGACATTGTAGCATTTCCATTTTACAAAGTCCACTAACAGGATTTTTACATCTGTGGTGCGGAATCTAAAACCCCCCATATATTTCTTCACAGACATCTTTGTGTCCTGATTGTTTTTTCGGCAGAGCTTGCTAGTTTACTCCTCTTTGTGTAAACAAAGAGAGAGTCTACTTTACTCCTCTTGATAACAGACCACTAGGCTTGCAATAGATTTGAGCCCTTTTGGAGTACAAGCAATTACCTTTTGCACTTTCACACTCTTTAGTTGGCATCTTATCGTTTGGCTAAATCTTAGTAGTTAGACTTTATTTAAGACTGTTTTGTCATACGTACTATTAATCTTGAATTTTAGCTTAACTATTGAGCATTTCTGAATCAGATTCATTTCCTAGATAATTCATTGTATGGTAATTCAATTTTTGAGTAAAAAGCAACGAGCCTCTTATTTAATGTTGTTGTACAAATGTATTCTGTGAGCAAATTGTTCACTCGAAATTATGTTTAGCATGGCTGATACCGATTACAGTCACATTGCCTTGTCCTACCAGCATGTTTACCTGTTTTGTCACCAGAGGTCAGGACTTGCGGTTAACCCTAATTGCAGACGTTACAGAAACAGATTTAGTGCTGTCTGGTAAAGAAGAATAGGAGTTTTATTATGTCATTACATACTTCAAACAACCAAGTTTCTGTATATTCATTGTGTTAAAGTTCAGTTTTATTTGTATAGCACCAAATCACAACAAACGTTGTGTCTCAGGACACTTTACATAGTAAGGTCTACCCTTTGGCGACAGTGGGGAGGAAAAACTGCCTTTAATGGAAGAAACCTTCGACAGACCCCAGCTCTTGGTGGGCGGCCTTCTGCCTTGACCAGTTGGAGTGAAAATCAAAGAAAAGTAACAAGGCTCAATAAACAATTAAACACTGGGCAGACTGATGTAGCCAGTGACTGCTCATCAGAAACATAATGGTATCATATGTAGATGCATAGAGAGTGAGGGAGAGGAGCTCAGAGCATCATGGGATGGACCCCCAGCACTCGAGGCCTGTAGCAGCACAACTAAGGGAAGGCACAGGGTCACCTGAGCCAGCCCTAACTATAAGATTTAGCAAAAAGGAAGTTATTGCTATACCTCTCACCGACAGCCCTGGATTTAGTTTTCTATTTAACAGATTCAGTAGCTGAGTTTTCTCAACACTTCATAGACTGTGAATCAATCCTAGTTAACATTTTTCTTCTCGTCTTTTAGTTTGATGTTTACTTTGGGTTCCAGTAGATAGACAGAGTTACCGCTACACTGAGTCCTCAGAAGCCATAAATGAATAATGTTGTTGGGCCACAGATTATTGTGTGCCTGACTCTTGCTCAGTGACAGCATTTGATAAGAAACATATCGTCTTTAGTTTCAGTGCTGTATGAGGTATTGGGTCTGGAAAAGATTGGATGGCCTGTGTGAAAAATCATAATTCATTGATCTGATGGCTTGTAGTCAGCACTCATTTTGTTCTAAATTGATTTCTGGTAAGTCATTCAGATGTAACTACTGTGGACTCGGTGAACTGAGGCACAGAAGAGACAACAGCAAATCCAAGGTACACCGTGTGCGACTGTGTGTTCAGAACAGAAATGTATCCCCTGCTCATAAGGAGGGCAAGGAAGTCCCTGAGAAAGCCCTTGTCAGCTTTGTGGTGCTGTGAATCTCTGTATCAGGCTGTCCAAATATTTCTGTAGCAGTATTTATTTATGATAGGCCATGGGGGGAGGTGAGCCATTCTCTGCCTCCAAAAGAAACATGCAGTGTTCATGGGCAGTCAGCCAAGTGGCAGACTAGTGGTTACTCTCAGATAACGCCCATACAAGTCCTGGCTAGTTCAAGGCTATAGTTATTTATTTGGATGCCTTTTGGATTTAGGGTGGCTCTGTTTATTCTTGTGTCAACTTGGGTGCTGGTGTGTGTTGACTCTTTCC